CTCTATCCCTCTCCCTTCCTCTCTGTAAAAAATCAATAAAATATATTAAAAAAAAATAATAATAATAAAATAAAATTCTTGCAGCATTCAAGTAAGAATGAACTTCCCAAGTGTTCATTTAAATAATATTAAACAATATTGGTGAATTTGATTTAGCATAATCAGTTTGATTTATTTTGACATTTAAAGGAAATTGAAGTGACTGAAGTTAGTTTGGTTGTCATATTATGGAAATGGAAAAAGAAATTAAGATTTTGGGTTGTTGCAGGCAAAATAATTAAGGGTAAATTGTTATATAGAAGGCCCTTATAGAATTGTTCATTGAAATCAAGCTAAGAAATTATGCTACCCATTTCATCTTACCTCCATCCAAGCAATATGCTACAAATCTAGTATTTTTGTAAGGTTTTGGTAGATAAGTGGACGGTGGCAGAGGGAAGAGCTGAGAATATTAATTTTATTCATGTTCTCAGGAGGTAAGAAAGGAAATAATTATATAGCAGGTTCATCTTTTAAAAGATTTATGATCTGTAACAGGAAAGATATTTATACGTGTCCCAAATTGGAAACCACCTAAATGTTTAAAAATAAAGGATGAGTCTTCCTACCATCCTTTTTATCTGCTTGTGTGCCTGCCTGCCTGCCTGCCTTCACTTTAGTCAAAAGTTGTTGGGTGGGGTGGAGCAAGAAGGTATCAATGTGAGGGCATTCTACCTCAGAACTGGGTGGGACCAAGCAGGGTACAGAGAGCATCTGTGTGGACAATAGTGGCTGCAACAGCTTGGAATTTCATGTTGAAGGCTGGCAGGTGAGGAGGGCTTTCTGCCGGGGGGGATGAGGTGGCAGACAAGGCTTAGTTTTAGAGCCAAGTCAGGCTAGGTTGGCATCTGAGGTGAGGGTAGGAGTGGCAATGGCCAGGCAGTGGTTCCTGGGCAATAGGAGAGTGCTACATTTGATTGATCACACATACGTGTGTTGAAGATAAAGGGGTCTATATTCCTCACTGTGGAAAAACTAGAATGAGCCTTATAGTGTTGGATCAGGGTTGGAGGTATTGGCAGGAACCCATAGATAGATGATGGATAGATAGGTATAGATATATAAATATATGTAGAGAGGTAGATCTAGAAATAGCAGTAGGAATAAATATATATATCAGTATAGGTATGTGTACATCTGTATTTAATATATACGTTTGCTACTCTGTTCTCAGAGTGGGCTGGGAGAGTGACATCCTAATAACAATAAGCATGGTACCCAGGTCTTGGCTTCTAAAGTACTGCTCTCCAGGAAAAAAGAACAATTTCTTGGAGAAATAGCTGATTTTAGATATGGATGTAAGGAATGTACAGGATAAGCCTGGAACATTTTTGCTATACCAGAAAGTAAGAAAATTCTCAAAGAATTATGAGGCTATAATGACATAGAAGTCATTTCGAATGGGTTCTTATTGGCCAATCTGGGAAAACGTAAAGGATCAAAATAAGTAATGATAGTCATGATTATAAACATTGATATAAAAATAAATGATTGCAGAGATTCAGGAAATAAAAAGCTTTTTCTTATAGTAGAACTAGAGGCCCAGTGCACAAAAATTTGTGCACTTGGGGTGGGTCCCTCAGCCTGGCCTGCCCCCTCTCACAGTCTGGGAGCCCTCAGGGGATGTCTTACTGATGGCTTAGGCCCACTCCCCACTTTATCCACTTCTACCTCCCCCACTCCCTTCTCCCTCTGATAATCATGTTGTTGTCTGTGTCTATGAAGTTTTTTTCCTTGGTTTAATCCCTTCACCTTTTTCACCCAGCCCCCCAACCCTCTGAAAGTTGTCAGTTTGTTCTCTGTATCTATCAGTCTGTTTCTATTTTGTTTGTTTATTTTGCTCATTACATTCCACATATAAGTGAAATCATGTGGTCTTTCTCTGACTGGTTTATTTCACTTAGCATAATACTCTCCAGGTCTATCCATGCTGTTGCAAATGGTAAGGTTTCCTACTTGGCTATTATAAATAACGTTGCTATGAACATAGGAGTAGATATATTCTTTTGAATGAGTGTTTCAGGTTTCTTCAGATATATTTTTAGAAGTGGAATCACTGGGTCATATTTTCAATTTTTTGAGGTAACTCCATACTGCTTTCCACAGTGGCTGCACCAATCTGCATTCCTACCAATAGCGCATGAGGTTACCCCTTCTCTGCATCATTGGCAAATATGTTCTCCCATTCAATGGATTGTCTTTTCATTTTGTTGGTGGTTTCCTTCATCTTGCAAAATCTTTTTAATTTAATGTAGTCTCATTTGTGTATTTTTTTCTTTTGTTTTCCTTGCTCAAAGCGAAAATATTGCTATGAGAAATGTCTGAGATTTTACTGCCTATATTTTCTTCTAGGATTTTTATGGTTTTGAGTCTAACATTTAAGTCTTTAATCCATTTTAAGTTTATTCTTGTGTATCATGTAATCTTTGTACTATTCCTGCAATTTTTTCTGTAAGTCTGAAATTATTTAAAATAATAAATAGCATGTATATTTTCAAAAAAATCTTGAACAACCACCAAAACCAAAATATAAAAACATAACAGAGGATTAACTAAATAAAAATGGTATATCCAAATATTGGAATTTTTAGGAATTTGTTTCAATGATGATTTAGAAGACTATGTAAAGACATGAAGATTCCATAGATAATTAATTAAACAAGCACATTGTAACTCTAATTACAATGAAGAGCTCATTATATATAATATATTTGTTTTAAATATAATACTAGAGGCCTGGTGCACAAAATTTGTGTGCGGGTACAGTCCTTAGGCCTGGCCTGTGATCAGGGCCATCTTCCCTGGGTGCCTGCAGCCGGCCCCACCCCACGCCACCACCCACCCCCGGTTCCCCATTCGCTATTGGGTGATTGGTGCCTGACGGCCTGGGGAAGGGACCGAGAGGTCTACTATTCCCGCCCGCTCACTGGCCCCGCCTCTGCCACAGATAGCCCTCTGTGTGTGGGGTGACCAGCAGGGCACCGCCCATGCCTCCCGCCACCCACCCCTGGCTCCCCTTTCACCATCAGGTGATTGGAGCCTGCCGGCGGGGAAAGAGACCAAGAGGTGGTCAGTGCGCCTCATAGTGATTGGTCCAGTGGTTGTTCTGCCATTAGGGTCAATTTACATATCACCCTTTTATTATATAGGATATAATCTATTTGTTTATATATATAATATATAATCTTATTTAAGAAAAAGGCTAGAAAGATTGACACTAAATTGTTAACTGTGAGAAGAGCTTCAAAGACTGAATATTTAAAAAGGCAAACATACGAGGGGAATGTCAAAGAAAAACAACTATGAAATATGTTAAAGAGATAACAGAATAAAGAAAGTTATTGCAGAAGCCAAGGGAACGGAAATTTTAGAAGGAAGTTGTTAAAAATACCACAAAAGGAAAGCAATGAAGCTGGCATTTTAGATAGGACCTATGCTACATTAGGCACTTGGACTATATTATGTCACTTAACCTTTACCCACATAACTAATTTGTATTTTACATTTCCCAGGTTCAAACCCCACTCCTCCTGCAACCTTAGCCATCTCAGTAAATGGAGAAGTGTTTACCCTGTTGCTCTTTCTTTCACATAGCACAGTCAATCCATCAGTAAGTCTTGTCTCTGCCTTATGACCCAGTGCTTCCACTTTGGGGAATATATATGAAGAAATTCCAAACACTGATTTGAAAGAATATATACAGCCCTATTTCATTGTAGCATTATTTACAATAGCCAAGATTTGGAAGCAGCCCAAGTGCTCATCAGTAGGTAAGTAAATGCAAAAGCTGTGGTATGTTTACACAATAGAATACTACTCTTCTGGAAAAAAAAAAAAATGAAAGAAAATCTTACCTTTTACAATAGCATGGATAGACCTGGAGAGTATTATGCTACGTGAAATAAGTCAAAGAAAGACCATATGATTACACTTATATTGGAATCTAATGAACTAACAAACAAAATAGAAACAAACTCATAGATACAGAGAACAGACTGACAGCTGTCAGAGTGGAGTGAGGTTGAGGGGCTGGGTGAAAAGGGTAAATAGATTAAGCAAAACAAAAAAACCCTCATAGACAGACAACAGTATGGTGATTATCAGTGGGAAAGGGGGATGGTGGAGGGAGAAGTGAGTAAAGTGGGGGTAAATGGTAATGGAAAAAGATATGACTTAGGGTGGTGAACACACAATACAATATACAGATGACTTATTACAGAATTGTACACCTGAAACCTATATAATTTTATTAACCAGTGTCACCCCAATAAAGTCAATTAAAAAAGAAAAAAACTTTAAATAAGTAAATTAGTTAAATTTCATCCTATCTCAGGAACCCAATCCTATATTGTTTATAACATAGACAAATAGTAATTTCCCCAAATGCAGTTGCCAAAGGATGTTAAACAGTGTTACACAAGCATCTACATTTCTGGGCAATGGGACATCTGTTTTCATTTTCACTTCAAGCAAGTTCTTTTTTTCAGTAAATAGGACTTAATTTTCTTTCTCTACTGCTAGAGCTTATGAAAGACCTGCCTCCCAAAAGGGGAAGATAGAAGTCTGGAAGCCCTCAGAGCTCTCAGTTTGGAGATGGTGGTACAGTATCATGTTGGCACTGGGGACAACAATGAAGGCTGATAACTCATGTTCAATAAGGGACAAGAGCATCTGATCCAACCAGGACTATTTCCCCAGCCAGCTGGTCCAGTGATTAATTATTCTCTAGTGAGGACTAATAAGAGATACTTCAGTATCTACTAGAAACCCTTTATTTTTAAAAGATATTTTTATTAATTTCAGAGAGGAAGGAAGAGGAAGAGAGAGATAGAAACATCAATGATGAGAGAGAATCATTAATTGGCTGCCTCCTGCTCACCTTCTACTGGGGATTGGGCCCACAACCTGGGATGTGCCCTTGACCGGAATCAAACCCAGGACCCTTCAGTCCCCAGGTCGATGCTCTATCCACTGAGCCAAACTGGTTAGGGCCACTATAGAAACCCCTTATAATTTTCTGTCACAAAAAACTTCATGGACTTCTAATTATATAGTGTCAGTACAGTCATTCTCAACCATTCACTCACCACTGTTTTAAAAACTCCCTTATACAGAACCTTCTATATATGCCATATTTAGATATTTGGGCAGGTAAATCATCTGATACCTGGAGTGAGCAAAGAAGGTAAGTAATAAGGCCTCCAGGTTTGAGTCTAAAGTGATCTGCTTCTCTCTACTTCTCATGCTCACAACAACCCTTCAAATTAGGTGTTACCTGCATTTTACTGTTGATAAAGGACACACATAAGGTATGGTACGATTGACCTTGAATGAAGATCTTTAGGAGAAGGGTAAAGGGGGGAATGTGATGTTAAACTGAGACTACAGGTGAATGAGATGGTGAAGTGATAGGTGGTGGGGTAAGGAAGGGTAAAGAAGAACGTTAAGAACGATGGGGTCTACCGGGGAAAAAAAATAATTAAAAGGTAGGTCTTGATTTGTTCTTTGGTCTGATGACGATTTGTCTTATTTTCTGAAATTTCTTTAGTTCTGAGGTCTGATGCTTCCTCCTCCAACTCTAACAAAGCTAAAATATCTTTCTCAACCAATTTGCAGAATCTTAATTTTTGAGTAGATGTAGCTTTGTGACAAGAATGTAATGTGTGCTGTGAACCTGGCCAGGCTGTAGAGCTACACTTCAAGCTATGATTCCTGTCCTGAGAAGTGTCAGGCTGCTGGGAAGGGTAGTTAGCCTCCACTATGACGAGTCCAGAATGAAGGGAAACAGAGGGTGCTTGGGAGCACAGAAGAGGGGCATTTTTACAGGAAACTAGGAGGAGCTTGGAAGTCTTTCTGGAAGATACTGATCCCTGATGCAAGTCTTGAAAAATGAGGAGACAGTGTGGCGTTGGTAGCACTTCAGATGCAGGGCAGGAAGGAGGAGCACAATCAGAAATGCATGTTGCTGAGAGAGGCAGGTTCCACAGTGTGAGTGCGGGCATAGCCTGAGGTGAGGCCAGAGGTGTGAGCAGGGTCCAGGCCAGCTGAGAAGACCGTGGACACCACAGAAGGATGTTAACAGGAAGGTATGTGGTGAGTCTGTTTTTTAAGAGAGGTGTCTTTGGTGGCAGAGTAGGAAAAGTGCCCCGGAGACAGAAAGCTCACACCTATTTTAATAGAATTGAGGCTGAATATCTCCAAGTGGATGTTTTTCATGTGTAATGGTTGCTATCTAGAATTAGTTCTTGAGGTCTCATTTGTGTGTTGTCTTCTTTATTATCTGCGCAAATCCAGATGTCTTATACCAGGAGGAGTCAGCAAACAAAAAGAAAGAGAATAGAGGAGCCTTGAGCATAATGGAGGGCAGAGGGTGCTGGAGAGGAATCTTTGCAGGGTCACAGCTCACAGCACAAACAGAAGTGGGCTCTCAGAAGAACAATGAGTGCTCTGGGGGCACTCAGACTGCACAATGGCCCGGTTACAGAGAAGGGCCAGTGTTTTCTGTCGGTACCTTCATTCAGTGAAGGAGAAAAAGGCCAGGAAAAATAGCATCCCCGGGGCTTGCAGGACATTATTTTTGAAAAATAGTTTTCTTCCATATACGGTTGAAATGTAGAAGAAAATTGTTTTCTTTATTTTAGAAACATGTTGAAGAATAATAGTCCAGTCAACTATGTGAACTTAAATACCTTTCACCTATTCTAGCATGAACTAGTTTGACTAAGGGAGGATGGAGATTTAAGGGCTATTTTCTAAGTATTTAAGGTCCTCTCAATAATCGCATTTTTTGTGTGTGTGTGATTTATGCCGAACCAGATAAACTGAGTCATAAGCTTCAAACCGTATGTTCCTTTTCAGGTTTTATATCCCAAGTGAGAATTTTTATGCGAGCAGACATGCTTTGAAAGTGTATTACTCTTATTGCACTTTATTGCTATTGGACAGCGAGAAAGCTGTGTCAGAGGGATGGCCGCTTACCGAAGGCGCAGTGGGCACCAGATCGCTCTCCGTTCTCCCTGTCTGCATTGCTGTGTGAACCCGGACCGACTCATAAATGGAAGGTTCTTCCACTTTTCTTGGATAGGGATGTTTCAGAACAATCAGAGTGCCTGAATGGAGGGGAAACACATATTCATATAGTTTAACAATGAGATAGCTGTGGCTGGATCATAGTCTCTTGTTTGTTCATGTATTCACTTGTCTATTTTCTCAGCATTCACTGAGTACCACCATGTGAGCTGGACACTGGAGATACGAGGTGTGATGAGATGATTTCTGGCTTCCTAGTGCTCAGAGAGAACTATCAATGGATATCACTTAACCTAATAGTCATTTACTTATTTCTTTTCCTTTCTTTTTTTTGTTTTAATAAATAGTCATTTCAATGAGCAGGGTAAAAGACCAATGTCAGCGATATGAACAAAGCAGGCTGGTGGCTTTCGGAGAACTAACCCTGAAGAGCTAACCCTTCCATGGAATGAGTCAGAAAATCTTTCCTAGAAAAGGCGATATTGATCTAGACTAGACCTTAAGCAATAACTGGACGTTTTCCAGTAGACTTTACAAAAGTCACGAATCCAAACCCCACGAATGCACTGGAATATAGGAGGATTTATCCACTGCACATATTTCTGACTTGCTTTAGAACAAACTTGTAACAAATCACTGGATCTCAAAAAAGTGTACTCACAGCTTCTCTCTACTGTCTCCTACCACCGAACTAATGAAATAAACTAACCAAAGCCTTTGTGTATCTAAGTGAATATTCACGTCTATCTGGAGGAGGGCAGTCCAGGCAGGAATCGAGCTCTGCCCAGAGCCAGGCTTGGGCATGTCCCTCAGGGGCTGAGAGCAGTTCTGACTCTATGCTTCCGACCGACCCCAAGTCCAAAGTTTCTCCACTCTGACCCTTCCCTTCCCCCAATCAATCAGTCAATCCGAAGCTAGAAACTCTGACTGCAAAAAAGTAAGTTAAGGTTTTCCCCCTACTTTGCTATGACTTCTTCCTTTTTATTTTCCTAGGCTCTCTTATACAGCAGGCTGGGGATTGTGCTAGACACTGGGGTAGATTAAAGAATTCAGTAATTCATTCAACAAATATTTACTGAGCTCTACTATGTGTCAGGCGCTTGTCTAGATACAACAGCAAACAAAGGAGGTATAGCATCTGCTCTGCGGCAGGGGAGACAGAAAAAAAAAAGAAAAAATAATATGTCAGGTGAGAGAAGTGCTTTGAACAAACTAATAGAGAAGGTAAAGGAATAGAGAGCCAAAAGCATGGGGTTGGGTGCGGGTGATATTTATATGGGTGGTCAGAAAGACTCCTTTGAAAAGGTAATTTGAAAAAGTATAGAAAGTACAGACCTTGAATTGGAGTAAGAGAAAGACAATGAGGAGAGAAAAACACCTCCTCTGTAATTATAAAACCCTAATTAATAATGATAAACCTACAAACAAAACCTTCCTACAGTGCTTGAGTTCACATGAGGTACTCACTGCCCAAATACAACTGCAGCCTCGGAGACCTGGGCCCAGATAACGCACCGCTGCCACATGGAAAGGAGCACTGAGAAAAGCCATTGATCGTGACCCCCGTAATGAACGGGACACTCCGGGCTCCTCCTCTTTCTGCACTTAGCTCAGGTCAGTGGCGTTGGGACCACAATGAAAATGGCCTTTTGCTGTTATCAGAAGCCCCATTCCCACCCTGGCACATTGTCTGTGCTCTTTTGTCAATGTGATCCCTTCATGAGAACAGAGCGAGTCATATCAGGACAAGGGGCCGGTTACAGTTTTACAGTCAGAATGAAAGCATCGGCACCTAAATCAAGAGCAGCCGTTGTGCAGGCGCAGGGCTCTGTGAACAGTGGTTAGATGGCAGATGCTTGATGAATTGGGGACTGGCACCTCTGTGACCTGCCCCAGAGAAACACCACCTGCGACATGCCTCGCACCACCCTGGTGTCTTGGAAAGAGCCGACACTACCACTTGGTACCTGTTGACCTTGGACAATCATTCTAGCTTTTGTTTCCTCCTCTGACAAGTGAGAATAATTACCCTTTCTTCACAAGCCTGTTTTAGGCACCTATAAAGGATGGTAAAAATGTGTGATGTTATTCTATTTTGATGTAGAGCAGCGGTTCTCAACCTGTGGGTCGCGACCCCTTTGGGGGGCGAACGACCCTTTCACAGGGGGCGCCTAAGACCATGGGAAAACATATATATAATTACATATTGTTTTTCTGATTAATCACTATGCTTTAATTATGTTCAATTTGTAACTATGAAAATATATCGTGCATATCAGGTATTTACATTATGATTCATAACAGTAGCAAAATTACAGTTATGAAGTAGCAACGAAAATAATTTTATGGTTGGGGGTCACCACAACATGAGGAACTGTATTAAAGGGTTGTGGCATTAGGAAGGTTGAGAACCACTGATACAGAGTATTTTTAAATCCTAGCTGATTTGGCTCAGTGGATGGAGCGTCAGCCTGCAGACTGAAGGGTCTCAGGTTCAATCCAATCAGGGGCACATGCCCAGGTTGCTGGCTTGATCCCCAGTGAGGGGCGTGCAGGAGGCAGCCGATCAATGATTCTCTCTCATCATTGATGTTTCTATCCCTCTCTCCCTCTCCCCTCCTCTCTGAAATCAATAATAATAATAAAATGATAATAATAAAGGACTAATTTGTAGCATTCTGCTAAGAATAACAATGAGAGTTGTCTGGTAGTCACTGACTACAGTGCTAAGACATATTAGTGCCTCTTGAACACTTTGGAGCCCAGGGGGACTGGAGCCCAGGGATCAAAGCAGCTCACAGATGAGAAAGAATGTGAAAGCTTGTGCTTGATCTTCAAGGTCGATGCCAAATTTTTTTATCTTGTTCCACATGAAAATAATTTTTTAAATGATGCTCTAGAAAGATGCACCGATTCAGTCTTCCTTTTTGCAGATAACCAGCATTCATACCTCCCAGCATACTCCTATTGGCTCTATTTTCTTATTGCTGCTGTAACAAATCACAAGCATAATGACTTAAAATAACTCACATTTATAACCTGACAGTCCTGGGAGTCAGAAGTCTGAACTGAGTGTGACTAATCTAAAAACCAAGGTATTGCCTTGGCTGCTTTCCTCCTGGAGGCTCTGGAGGAGATTCCATTCCTTTGCCTTTTCTAGCTCCCAGAGGCTGCCTGCATTCCTTGGCTGGTGGCCCTACCCCTCCATCTTCTAAGCCAGCAACAGCAGGTCAAGTCTTCACATGCTGGTTCTCCCTCTTCTGCCTTTTCCTTCAGTTATAAGGACCCTGTGAGTACACTGGGCCCACCTGGACGATCCAGGATTATCTCCCCATCTCAATGCCAGCTGATTAGTGGCTTCAATTAATCTGAAAGCTTAATTCCCTCTCACCACGTAACATAGCTTATTCACAGGTCCAGGGAGAGATGTGGGCATCTTTGAGGAGGCTGTTATCCTGTCTACCAGTCTCAGTCCTTGCGGGGGGGCGGGGGGTATAGCCATAGGGCCAGTTATGCTGCCACGGAAGCATCTCTGGGCCGGTGTTGCTCCCTGGGCCTGCACTGCTTTAACCACTTGGTATTATAAAGCCATTGCCTTTACAACAGGCACATTTCCAAACCCTGTAAGCCCCTCAGGGCTGATATGATTCCAAATTTATCTTTGTATCGCTACCTCTTGATAGAGTTTCCGACATAATGAAGTCTTGATGAGTGAGTGAATGAACGAACGAATGAATAAATGTCACAGTAATTCAGGTTTAAGGCAGGAGAGTCTGGGATGGACCAGCCTCCAAAGTTCACAACCATCCTTGCCTGGGGCAAGGACAAGGCAATAACTTCAAGTGTGGCTCTCCATATCTTCGCTGGCGGGACCCAAATTCTATTTTGAACGCCTCTTCTAAAGTTTAACCAATAGAAGCTAAACTGAAAGAAATGATATGGAGTCAATCAGGAAAGTAGAACTGACTATAAATTGATTTTAACTAGAGTAAGACCATGAAAGAGGTCAGATTGAATGGCACGATGAAGAAAATGATAAACTCCTTACAAAATGGCAACTTCCGCTGATAAAAATCTGGCCTCCTTGCCCTGACCGGTTTGGCTCAGCGGATAGTGTCGGCCTGTAGACTGAAGGGTCCCAGGTTCAATTCCGGTCAAGGGCGTGTACCTTGGTTACGGGCACATCCCCAGCAGGGGTTGTGCAGGAGGCAGCTGATCGATGTTTCTCTCTCATCGATGTTTCTAACTCTCTATTCCTCTCCCTTCCTCTCTGTAAAAAATCAATAAAATATATTTTTACAAAAAGAGTGAAAACACTTTCAGAGTGCTTGACTAATTTCCCTTGTGATGAAGCACTTAGAACTTTAACTGTAACATCACATGCTCTTCAAACTCGAGAGAAGGCAACATATAACTGATCATGTGAGAAAACGGGTTCAGGTAGGAATATGCCTACTCTGTCTAGAGTTTGTCCTTGTGATTTATCAATAGTCATCACAAATGCTGGCATCGCAGGAAAAAAAAATCTGGCCTCCTTAAAGACAGGTCTCCCTATTTGACCATTCTTCCCAAGGAAGGGCCAATATACAGACTTGTCGGCGTGGCTGCTGGGCTTATGATGATTTCCCCTGGTGCAGAGACTGTCCCATCCCAATACAAAAGCAGAGCCCCACAGACCTGGCCCTCCCCCTAAATGCCTCACCTGAGCTGCACTCACTGGGCTCACTTCTTGGGGATCTGCTTAGTTGCTTCTCTGGAAAGAAGGTCCACTACCTTCAATTTCTGAACCACGTGAAGGAAGCTGCTGTTTCCTGCCTTTGACATGAAACCTGGTTTCAGAAACACTTGGTGGAGGTACATTTTTGAAGTGATCAGAGTAAGACCAAGGCAGGCATTCTAATTTGCTAAAAGCTTCAGAGTTGCCATGATCACTGGGATGATTCCTTATGTTTTTCAGCGTTGTCCTTAAATTCTGGGGTGAGATACTAATATCCTTCCCCAAAATTTCACTTCTCACCCTGTACCCCTCTTTTTTTAAAAAAAAATTCAGCTTGTCAGGGTTGGTTTACATGATTTTCAA